TTTTTTTTTTTTTTTTAATTAATTTTTTTTCTTTGGAGGCGTAAATTTATTAAAAAGAAATATTTCCAAAAATTTAAACAAAATTTAATTAATTTGGCGACGTTTAGAATTTTTGCTTAAAATTTTATCATATGCGGATCGACAATTATGTTTAAAACTTTTAAAATAATTATATTCAGCTTATTTTACTAAAAAAAAACAAACAATAAATTTTATAAAATAAAAAATAAAAAAAAAATCATTAAATTTTATTTTTTTTTGCGTATTTATTTTTAAGATTAATGATCCTTCGCTTTTTTTTTAAAAAAAAAACGCCAAAATTTTTCTAAATACTCAGGTTGTTTATCGCGTCTTCCAGCAGAAATAAAAAAAGAAGTTTCAGAAGACGAAAAAATTGGACAAAAAGCGAGTTAACAAAGATGGTAAAGATAAAGAAGACAGTGATGATACTCATGATAGTGATACAGATAAGGATCAGGCAATTTTTAAGAAAGGAGTTATAGTTAAAGGAGAGAATAAAAATAAAAGTCTAAGAAAAATAAAAGGAAGGTTTATACAAGTTCGTGCAAAGTATTTAGTTTGTTTAGATTTTATTTTTATATTTTTAGACTAGTCAGAAATTTAGAAGGACCCCGAGCAATATATATAGGTAACAAGAAAGGTCAAATTTTTATAATAGCTCTACGCAAGGTTTCTATTAAGATAAATAAGCAAATTCAACATGTAACTTCATGAATTACACAATCAAATCATATGACATAAAAATTTTTTAGTACAATAATAAAATACGTTGATAATTTCCAATTATTGTCATTTTATTTTTCATTTTATCAATTACTTTCGCGATATCCCTATCCGAGAAGAAACTCAGACACGTGATCATTTTTCCGAAAAATTTTTTTATAGGGTATACAATTGAACATTTCATCATTTTTTCAATAATGTCATGTCATCCCAACCGAAATATTCATCATATTTCTTTTCATTCCCTATTAGCTTAAGTATATTACCATCAATTAAAACTTTGATATAATAAACTATGTTAGATGACACATGTCATTCTTTTGATCTTTATTTTTATAGTTGACGATCTAGAATTTTCATAATTAAATATTGCCCAATTTATCCAGAAATAACTAATAAGCAATCGTCTTTAAAAATCTCGTCAAAATTAAGCAAAATAAAAAATATGACGTTAACCATATATATCGTTAACCTCTAACTGTGGTAGCATGTGGCTAAGCAAATAATATTGTTACCTATTTTATGGTCCTAATTTAGAATAGTTTTTACTTTATAATAACAAAATTTTAGTGTATTTTGATCTTTGATTTGGTTAATCTCTTCTTGCTGCGCCACAAAGAACTTTGAAATGATGTTTCACAGTATTCCTCGTATAGTGTAAGTTAAATTCATCCATGGGTGGTTGTAGGTGATGAACCGTCGTCTGTTGAAGGAAGGGATTTTCGCATACTAATTAATGAATTAATCAAACCCATATACTCCACAGATGTCTTTTAAAAAGCTTTTCATAATATAAATAATAGTAATTGTTTTATAATAAATAAAGGTGCAAACTTTACCGATGTATCTTACGTTTACTCCATAAATTAAATATATAAAAAAAAGTTCAAAGTTCTTTATATTTATATATTTAAAATTTAAGAATTTATTTTTCTATGAAAATTTAATTTAATTTAATTTTTTTTTTTTTTTTTTGTGAAATTGTGAAAAATATTAGATAATAGAACGATATCTTAAATCATTTCATATCTTTATCTTGTTTTTATATCAGCAAATTTGCCATCACATTTTTTACATTTTTTACAATGACGAACGATAGAAATAAATTGTGGTTCGTGATTTATGATATCCATATCAATTTTTCAACAAAATTTTCATTCTTAATTTTAATAAATAAATTCAAGATCTTTGAAACAAAGTTATATCGAGCTACGTCACGAGTTACAACCTTAGTACCCTAGCCATGGCGAAAAAAAGTGACTGACACGTGACTTTTGGCCCGCATTACGGCGTTATGCACTAACACGTGAAAATAACCGGTGAAGAATAAGGGGTGACGAATAAGTTTTTACCTACTCGAAAAAAACTAACGCGGTGGGTGTGACGGTTGTGATGAATAAAATGCAGTCACGTGTCAGTCACTTTTTTTTAGGGTTGTATTACAACCTAGCTAAAAAAAGAAATAGCATGAAATATTTTTTTGATCTAACACATTGAAAGTAAATTATCGTATTACACGAATTGATCAACAGTTACCGATCATGTTGTAACACATTATATACATAAATGTATAATAAATTAATTTCGTTCGAGTTTTTTTCTTTTTTCTTTTTTTTTTTAAATTAATTTCTAAAAATCATTAAAATCATACAGAGAAAATGGCAAGCGATTCCAGTAGTAAAAATATTGATACAAATAAGCATACTCAATGGATTGAAAATGGCATTGCTTATAATTATATTAATTACCATGATTATAATGAATTTGAGAATATTAAATTTATAAAAAGAGGAGGATTTAGTGATGTTTATCGAGCTACTTGGAAAAATTCAAATACTGCTGTTGCACTAAAATATATCGCAGATATTGGCATCAAAGATATTGTTAACGAGGTATGACTAAATAATATTTATTATAATACCTTCTTATAAATAGTAATTTTTTTTTTATTATTTAGATAAGTTTATTGGTCAAAGTCAATAATATTCACGTGAATATTATTCGATTTTTTGGTATCGCTAAAAGGCATAGTAAGTATTTTTTTTTTTAAAAAAAAGATCTTTAAAGAAATATATATCGTTAAATTAATTTATATATATATATTTTTTTAGATAACGATGATATGAATTCAAGTTATTTGTTAATTTTTGAATATGCAGATAGTGGTACATTGGGAAATTATTTAAAAGATAATTTCAATAAATTAGATTGGAATATGAAATTGAAGTTTGCTATTCAAATTGCTGATGCGGTCTCATGTATACATGATAAAGATATTATTCATCGTGATTTAGTAAGCAATATTTTTTTATTAATTTATTTTTAATGACGTTTATAAATTTAATTTGATCTAACACTTTATAAATAATAGCATTCAGATAATATATTGGTTCATCAAAATACGCTTAGATTAGCAGATTTTGGACTTTCACGTAGAGTGGCTGAAGTATCAACTCAAAAAGAAATTTTTGGAAAAATAGCTTACATTGATCCACAATATTGTCAACCGAAAACAAATAAAGATACTATTGGTTATGAATATAAACCAAATAAGAAATCAGATGTATATAGCGTTGGTGTACTCCTATGGGAAATATCATCTGGGAGAAACCCATTTGAATCTTATGATAATGGTTATCTAAGAATAAGTTTGATGTTTGAAATCTTAAATGGTAAAAGGGAAATTCCAATCCCTGGTACACCGAATGATTATATTAACATTTATACAAGTATGACTTTTATTATTTGTATATAACTATATATAATATACTTATACTATATATTAAATATTAACGTAATACTTACTATAAAATAATTTTTTTTTTTTTAGAATGCTGGCAAAATAATCAAGATGATAGACCAGAAATGAAACAAGTATTAGATGACCTAAAATCGATCAAGATTGAAAATAATAACGAAATTATTATTAATGAATTATTATTCCAATATGATAATTTTAGTAGAAAAGGAATTTATAAACGAGTAGATTTTATTAAATTTGTTAAAGAATATATAACATTAAACAATAAGAATGAATATGAAATATTCAATTATTTATTAAATAATAAGGATAATAATCCTCAAAATATTTTTCTTTTGGCAATTTTTTATCAATATGAAATTGGTACTGAAAAAAGTGAAATTAATGCATTTGAATTATATAAAGAGGCATCTGAAAGAGGTTACATTAATGCATTATATCAGTTTGGAGTATGTTATGATTATGGAATAGAAACTGAAAAAAATAAAAGTAAAGCATTTGAATTATATAAAAAAGCTTCTGAAAAAGGGCATATTAATTCGACATATAAGCTTGGAATATACTATTGTAACGGAATAGGGATTGAAAAAAATGAAATTAAAGCATTTGAATTATACAAGAAATCAGCTGAAGAAGGTCATTTTAATTCTATATATCAACTTGGATTTTGTTATCAACATGGAATAGGAACTGAAAAAAATAAAAACAAGGCAATTTTATTATATAAAAAAGCAGCTGAAAAAGGACATATTAAATCAACGTATCAACTTGGAAGATGTTATTATTATGGAATAGGAATTGAAAAAAATACATTTAAAGCATTTGAATTATATGAAAAAGCAGCTGAAAAAGAACATCTTGATTCAATACATCAACTTGGATTTTGTTATCGATTTGGAATAGGAACTGAAAAAAATGAAAATAAAGCATTTAAATTATATAGAAAAGCAGCTAATGAAGGTCACGTTAGTTCAATATATCAACTTGGAGAATGTTATCATTATGGAATAGGAGTTGAAAAAAATGAATTGGAAGCATTTAAATTATATAAAGAGGCAGCTAATAAAGGTGATAATGATTCAAGATATCATACTGGGTATTTTTACCAACATGGCATAGGAACTATAATAGATGAATTTCAAGCATTTCAATTATATAAAGAAGCGGCTGAAAAAGGACATATTAAATCAATGTATCAACTTGGAGAATGTTATTATTATGGAATAGGAATTGAAAAAAATAAATTTAAAGCATTTAAATTATGTAAAGAAGCAGCTGATAAAGGTGATAATGATTCAAGAAATTTTACTGGATATTGCTATCAATATGGTATAGGAACTATAATAGATGAATTTCAAGCATTTCAATTATATAATAAAGCGGCTATTGAAAGTCACATTAATTCAGTATATAATCTCGGATATTGCTACCAATATGGAATTGGAACTGAAAAAAATAAAATTAAAGCATTTGGATTGTATAAGGAAGCAGCTGAAAAAGGACATGATTTTGCAATGTATAATCTTGGAGAATGTTATCAATATGGAGTAGGAACTAAAAGAAATGAAACTAAAGCATTTGAATTATACAAAGCAGCATCTGATAAAGGTAATGTTGATTCAATATATCATATTGGATATTGTTATCAATTTGGAATAGGAATTGAAATAAATGAAGTTAAAGCATTTGAATCATATAAAAAAGCCGCTAGAGAACTACTTATTGATTCCGTATATCGGTTTGGATATTGTTATCAGCATGGAATTGGAACTGAAAAAAATGAAACTAAAGCATTTGATTTATATGGAATGGCAGCTAATTGGGAGCATATTTCTTCAATAAATAGTCTTGGAGAATGTTATCAATATGGAATAGGAACTGAAATTAATAAAACTAAAGCATTTGAATTATATAAGAAGGCAACTGATAAAGGTGATAGTCATTTTTCAACATATTCTTTTAGATATTGTTATCAATATGGAATTGAAACTGGAAAAAATAAAAATAAAGCAATTAAATTATATAAGAAAACAGCTGAAAAAGGTTATATTGCTTCATTAAATAATCTCGGAAAATGTTATCAATATGGAATTGGGACTGAAATGAATAAAGCCGAGGCATTTAAATTATTTGAAAATGCATCCCAAAAGGGGCACCTTGATTCAATATATCAACTTGGATTTTGTTATCAGCATGGAATTGGAACTGAGAAAAATAAAATTAGAGCATTTGAATTATATAAAAAAGCAGCTAATAAAGGTCATATTAATGCAATAAATAATCTTGGACATTGTTATGATTATGGAACAGGAACTAAAATAAATAAAATAAAAGCTTTTGAATCATATACAGAAGCTGCTGAAAAAGGTCAAATTAATGCAATGTATAATCTTGGATACTGTCACCAATATGGTGTAGGAACTGAAAAAAATGAAATTCAAGCATCAAAATTATATGAAAAGGCGGCTGAAAAAGGGCATATTAAATCAAAGTACCAGCTTGCACACTTTTATCAACAGGGAATTGGAGTTGAAAGAGATGAAGTTAAAGCATTTGAAATTTATAAAGAAACGGCTAAAAAGGGCAATGTTGATTCAATATATCAACTTGGAGAGTGCTATTTTTATGGCATAGGAACTGAAAAAGATGAAGTCGAAGCATTTACATTATATAGTAAAGCAGCTGTAAAAAACCATATTGATTCAATTCATGATCTTGGATATTGTTATCAGCATGGAATTGGGACTCTGAAAAATAAGACAAGAGCATTTGGATTATATATAGAAGCAGCTGAAGAAGGCCACGTTACTTCTATGAGTAATCTTGCAGAATGTTATCAATATGGAATTGGAACTGAAAAAAATGATATTAAAGCATTTGAATTATATAAAGAATTAGCTGAAAAGGGCCATCTTAATTCAATATATGATCTTGGATATTGTTATGAACATGGGATAGGAACTGAAAAGAATGAAATTAAAGCATTTGAATTATACAATGAATATGAAAATAAGCTTGATAATGACCTATAACAATTTTCTATTATTAATAAGATTCCGTTATTTCAGAATGCTTTCTAATTAATAATTCATTTATTTATCTAGCTAGTTTACTAAGAAATTATATATAAGAAATTTTTTTTCTTTTTTTTATATTTATAATATATAATAAAATTTTATTATTACAGTTTCCAATAAAAAATTTATTCGTTTAGCGTTCATCGCATTTTTTTTCCCTTGTTTAAACATATACAGTTCACGCTATAGTGAATCCCTCGGGCTGGAGATTAACTTCATTATAGTGAGGAAATTCACTATAGCGAATTTTATTTTATTTTATTTTATTTTAAAAATTAAGAAAATTACGGGAGTCATACAAACTTGGGGTTAGGCCCTTACAAAAGGAACAACTATACTACACCTATATTAGTAATAACCCAGCCATCTAAACAGTCTCCCTGCCTAATATTGTCTAAACAATACTAAGCATGGCCAGCATTGCAGGAAAAAGATAACAAACATGTTTTTTACAATTTTCAACATGTAACTTCTTATTTTCTTTCCTTTTTAACATTTGTATTTCAAACATCAAGAAAATTATCGAGGACGACATATCATAGTTTTAGATTAGCAATCAGATAGTAAATAGACAGAACAATTCAGTAAGTAGGTGTAGGTGCCTGATTCCGTCTTTGACGGGTTAGTAGATTAGAATAACCAATTAGTTCATAATAGTGTTATGTCTATTGTATTTTTTTAAACATAGTTGTAATTTACCTGTAAAAAAAAAAATAATAATAAATAATTGCTCGCATTATTTTGGTAGAATATGCACACAATGTTATAATAACATTGCGTCATTGTTATACCTAATAAATATCGGCCGGTTAAAATGATTAACCTGCTGTGGGGACCATCCCGTACCTTTACGTGCATGATTTACCAGATGGTATGTAAAAGGTAAATTTTATTAATTAGTAATATCCCAAGTTCACAAATAAAAATAAAAATTTACAGAAAGAAAGTAAAATTTGTTCTCTAAAATTAAATTCCAGCGCCATTATTATATATCAACATATAAAAACTAATTGAGCAAAATTTCCTTGTCTGGAATTAATTAAAAATTAAACGAACTACTAATTAAAATAAAAATTTCTAAAAATTCGATCCTGGGGCTGAAATTATTGATTTTGGGGCGCGGTATTATATTTAATTTAGGTAGCGTTTAAAATTTACTGCGTCCGGAATTACGTTAAACTACCAAAGAATTTATGTAGATCATATGAATAAATAAAGTGAAATTTCGGTCACGTGTCATCCAGCCAAAAACGAATTTTTTAAAATTAATAAAATACGACTTCCATAACAGGCGGCTACTCTAGGGTTATTTTAGTTTTAAGGTGGTTGGGCGTTCCATCTTATTGATTTTTTTTGCTGATACTTTGTAGTGTTAGTGCGATTTTATGTATTTGTTTCTCCCCGCGCATGTTATGTTAAAAATAAATAAAAATAAAAACGACTTCCATAATTCCCCAGTTTCAATTTAACTCGATTCATTGGCCTTTAACTAAAGATTGGATTCAGTTCAACCATACAACAGACATATGCAGTGACCATAAATCTTCTTTTCAGTCATTCAAAATCAAGAGTCTCGACCATGCATTGCCATGTGGCGACGTCCTTTTTAAACATTATCATGACCTTTACCCCAACTGGTATTCCTTGCCCGTTCAGCTCTCAACATTTAGACACTAATGACCATTTAGGATTGTGCCCGTCGCTTCGAACCTCTTTGCAATCAAATTTATCTCATTTAAAGAAAATTCTTCATGACTCGATGGCTTCTCATCTTCCTGATCCAAACTCAATCAAATTTATCATAGACAGCATTAATCGCTTACCATTATTTGCCACCATCAATAACAACACACATGATGTATATTTGTTGATTCATCAACTCGTCCCACAAGACCTTTATAATATAATATATTCATACACCCACAAGCATAGTATTATTAAGAAAATTATATTCGAATTTATGACTTCATTTTTCAACTATTTCTTAAAGATATTTGGATCCCGCATAACGACAAGCTTCACGCCTGGGAACGAGCCAGAAATATTCTGCGCAAAGATAAACGTAAACGCCCTCAACTACCGACACTTGATTCTTCTAAAAAACTTACCTCCGCCAGGATTAAGAGCCGTGTCCGCATTAATCACGCTTCTAGCGCTCCATCACTCGGTCTTCTTCTCGACAACACCCCTTTTATGTGATCCCGGATGGTATCGACGATGCATCACTCGGTTCTCCGATCCCTTTGTGGTTGGTTCTGATCACTTCGAACTATTTGCATTCGGGTGGATGGGCCTCTTTTCTTCATTATAATTCTTATATAGATTTTAAATTAGATAATTCTTTTCATGTATATAATTTCTTTTTTTCTTTACGTTCAGTTTTAGACAGTGCTGGCCATACCTAGTATTGTTTTGTCAATAACAGGCGAGGCGATTTCTTTTTGGGAGGAGGTTGGGTTTAAACGCGTACGGTGGTGTTTGTAGTGCCTTCGTTAAGGCCTCGTTCCATAAACTCGTTTAACCTTGCCTCTGTCTACATTTTAAAAATAAGAATAAAAATAAACGACTCCCACAAAACTACTGTATAAGTGAAAAAAAATTTTGTACAATTTGCAACCAAAAAACAATATTATTAACCGATTAATTAATCGGATAAGGCCTTTGACTATTGCCGTTTTCAAAATGACCGCGTAAGATGATGACAAAAAAAATAATAATTTTAAAAAAATACGAGAAAAAAATACATGTAATGTGTATGTAATAAAATACAAGATCATAGAAATTTTTTTTTTTTATGCTAAAAATCTTATTACGCTTTCAAAAGGTTGATAAAATATTACGTGATTTTTTTTTTAACCTTTAAGCACAAAAGAAAAAGGTTTTCTATGATCCTGTTACACACACTACATAGGTTTTTTCTTGTGTATTTTTTTTTTGTCACCGTCTAACGTGATCGACGTCAATTTTAACTTTTTTGAAAATGATAAAGTTAGTTCGACGATTCTAATTTCCAACCTCCAAATTAAATATCAGAAATTTTTATATTCTAGCAAAGTTGAAAGTTTACTGTTTCATCAAGATGTATCGTCACAAAATTTTTGATACTTTAAAATGCAACTTTATATATCATTTCACAAAATTGAAAATTATTTAACGTGCAATATCCTTGAAAATAACAAAATAGTCAATTAAAAGAACTAAAATTATGTCAACTTGTAATGTTGGAAATTGTTGCTAGAATAATTTCTGTTTAATAAAGCGCGAGAAATGGTTTACAATAGCTAACTCTTTATTTTGTTAATAACGATACATATAAATTTTTAACAATTTTAAGTTTGACGCATATTGAATAAATTTTTCGAAATTTATAACGAAATTTGAATGATTATGATCGACTTTTTTGATAAATTAACTAGAATTTTAATATAACATAATTACTCTCGATATTTCTGCAGTTGAAGAAGTTATTTTTTGTATGATGAAACATTCAAGATTTTAGTATGATATATATACTAATAAATGTGAGGGATTTTTATGTTGCAAGCAAGCAATATTACCGCGACATTCTGCGATACTTTCAATTGTTCGTTTAACGTTCAAATTTTTTGAAAGAATTGAACAAGAAAGGGTTGGAAAATTGGAAAATTATAAGTTTTCGTAAGTGATATTTACATTACTACGGTTCACTCTCACTATAACGAATTTTTGTATAGTGAATAACTTGCTATAATGAAGAAAAGCTCCAATACAGATTTTTTTATGATCAATAATTTTCGATATAGTAAACCTTTGTACTTTGTAATTCGAAAATAAATGTCAGAACAAATATAGTAAAATGGCTGAAGATTTTCACTATAGTGAATTTTAAGGAGTTGCATCATTAATAATTTTTATCACATGATACTTGTTATATGCAAAATTTTTACAATGTTAAAAATTCATATTTTAATAAGTTAGGTTTTTATGATTCCAAAAAAGAATGTCAGGTTTTTTGCCCTGTAAAAAAGTCTATCCATATTTTTTCCGTAAAAGGCTCATATTTCCGGAATTAATAACCTTATATCACGGAATTTATCGAATTATTTACATTTTCCGTGAATAGATCCGTGAAAAGCTCGTTTTTACAGAAATAACGGATAAAATTTTTTATAGGTTGCTATATCAATTTGTGCTACTATTTTTAGTCAACAAAAAATAAAGAAAATATATGTAAATCACGTGATTATAATATATTTTGATATAGTGAAAATTAATTCGCTATTTGCCATAGTGAATCCATCAAACATCTCAAATACTAAAAAAACATATTCAACCAGACCCTAACGATTACAATTTTTTCGTTCCTGTCTTTTCTGTTAGTTCAAAAGCACGCGAACGCATCATTAAGACAAATTCTACTATTCCTACAATCCTACCGAGAGCACATCAAGTGATCCTCCTCCTTCACCCAAATTTATAATTTTAGGAACACAATTCCCTCATGAAAAAATTTTATCACCTTTAACATGCACAGTTGACAACTATGACTCTTTACCGCAAAGTATTTTCATACCTGAGAATCTTCGCCCTTTTATACCAACTACACCCGTTTACACAGCACCATCAGAAGGTTCGAAATACTTAGCCCCAGGTTCTCCTGGTTGGTTTAAATATCTCTATGATCAAGAACGGAAAACAGAATACAGACGCCAATGAGATATCCAAGAACAAGAATCCAAGCGTAAAAAACTTGAAGCAGAGAAACAACACAAAGCTCGCGTTGCGTACTACAGTACAAGTGTAAATAAATTTGACCCTCACTCTCCTACTTCAGCAATGATTTACATCAACAAATGAAACGTCGATCGGTTTTTGCCGGAAAACACAAAAATGTTACGAAACCTGATATAACAGAAAAGGAACACGCCCACTTTGAAATCAATTACTTAGACTACGTCGCACAAACTCATTGGATACACTGTACTCCTCGTTCAGGCACGTCTGATAACACCAAAGAAATTGAAACACGTCAGCGTAAGCGAGACACTACCATCAACACTAACCTTACTTCATCCAGATTTCTCCACACGACCCAAAAGATGCATCCGACGACCGGTTCCCACTGACTCCCCAGCTGTTGGACCTTCTAATTCGAAATAATTTTGTTTACGATTATTACGTCTTTTACATAATGAGTCAACATACCCTATTACGAGTAGTTATAATACATCCTACATCATTACATTAAAACAATTTAGAATAGTGTGAACCACTCCTACCTTTGACATTATTGACAGGCGGCGACATTATGTCGAAAGAAAAATACGGAGCATTTTATGAAACTAAATCTTATTCCAATCAGCGGAAACGTATTTCGATACTAAACTATAATTCCTTATATGGGTGGTTAAATCTTATACCTGATGTTCCCAAAATTTTACTTTTCCCAGAAAGGTTTGTTTGATTAAATGATATCGCTATCGTTATCCCTCGTTTCCTGGATACTCACTGCGCGTTTGTTGTTCTCATTTAATTCTTACTTTTCCAGTTCTACACCTTTCTCTATTCCTTTGGTAGGGGCTGTGCCTTCGTTTAATTTATTTATGCGTTCGCTAAATGTTGCGTTCAACTTGTTGCAATTTTCTAGCTCTTCTATGCTCGGTATCCTTGAACCCGATTGGCTATCTGATGCTTCAAAAAATTGTTCATCTTCCGAAGAAGATGATGAAGCGACATTGTTTGACGCCTTTCGGAACTCCGTTTTCTCGTAAAATCCGTTTTGGCCAATTAAATCGTATCTGGAGACCTTCACCGAGTTTATCGTTCATTGCAAATTTGTATATGTTTAATCTTATTAACTATAAGTATAACGATTTTAGCCAAATGACCACCATATGTTTTAACGTAATTTTTGACTATTTCATGATTCTTTATATTCGTTTGAGTTTAATTTTTTCACCGCCTGCCAGCTATATCTTTTCTTAATATCTATTGCTTTCAATCTGGCATCAAACATCCTGAAGAAATATTCACGTCCTTTTTTTTGAGCGACAATGTTCGATCCACTTTGCTCGTATCTGGTTTCCCTTGTTTATATAGGCGGCGTTTGATAAATAATTTTTCTCTGTGTTCAGCTTCCTTTGTAAGTTTTCGTACATGTCTCATTTTTCCAATGTCGTAAATTTCATATCACGTGTAGTTTCGGATAAATGTTGATCCGAGTCACCGATTTTCGGTTTGTTTGTGTTGAAACATCTACACCAATTTTGTTCAAACTACTCATTTTCCAATTTATGATAATTAACAATGTGTAATATTCAGTGGCTGCAGTGATTACCATTTCCTTTTTGATTATACTACATTTTCCTTTCCTGAACGCATGCAAGACCATCTTAACAAAAAAATGTGTCAACCACCGAATAATACAGGTCCACAATCTATTCAACAAAATACTACATTAATAAATGACAACTTTAATAACCATTTGAGTGAAGAGGAGCAAAATTCTCTCAAATTAAAACATGGAAAAGTAAAAATACAAATGAATGATAATAGTGATAATAATTTTTCAGGATTACGTCATCTTGGATATTGTTATCAACATGGAATTGAAACTGAAAAAAATGAAATTAAAGCATTCGAGTTATATGAAGCAGCAGCTGAAAAAGGTGATGTTGATTCAATATATCAGCTTGGATATTGTTATCAACATGGAATAGGAACTGAAAAGAATGAAATTAAAGCTTTCGAACTATACAAAGCATCTGCTGATATGGGTCACGTTGTTTCAACATATAATTTTGGGAAATGTTACGAAAATGGAATAGGGATTGAAAAAAATGATAATGAAGCATTTAAATTATATGAGAAAGCAGCAGAAAAGGGTCACATTATTTCAATATATAATCTTGGAAAATGTTATTCTTGTGGAATAGGAATTGAGTACAATAAAATTAAGGCATTTGAATTATATAAAAAAGCAGCTGATAAAGATCATCTTGATTCAATATATCAGCTTGGATTTTGCTATCTTTTTGGTACAGGAACCGAAGAGAATGTAATTAAAGCATTTGAATTATATACTAAAGCAGCTGATAAAGATCATCTTGATTCAATAAATATACTTGGATTTTGTTATCATTATGGTATAGGAACAGAAGCGAGTGAGATTAAGGCATTCGAATTATATAAAAAGGCGTCCGATAAAGGTCATCTTGATTCAATGTATAAGCTCGGAAATTGCTATTTATTCGGTATAGGAACAGAAGCGAATGATATTAAGGCATTGGAATTATATCAGAAAGTTGCTGGCCGATAAAGGTCATTTTATGCCAAGGTTTTTTTAATCAACGTGGAACTCAAACTGAAAAAATGATAATAAAATATTAGAAAGAGCAGCAGCATAAAGCACAGGATTATGTCAATATTACTTCAAGATATAATTTTGAAATCATTACTATAAAAAACAAAAATTTATAAGGAGAAATATTATTTATTAATAATCTTGATAAACTGAAGTAATATAAAGATATACTAGTTAGAAAATGTCGTATTACTTGAATAATTCTTACCTAGTAACTTTCTTTTTTTTTTTTGAAAAAAGAAGTTTAAACACGAACATCAGTTGAAATATATAAAATTCACAGAAAATCGTTAAAGTATATTAATTATATATATTGGCAAATATTTTGACTCTCAAAACCTCCAGTAATATTCAATAATTTAGAAAAATAAATAGTGAAAAGTTTGTGTAATTTCATAAACATTTTTAGTATTTCTTACGTCATTATGTAGTTTAAGTAATAAATTTATTTTCAAACCCACAATTTTCATACAATGTTGTATTGTACACTATACTGTATGCGTTTTCTATAACTTTCGTTGCTATAAATCGGATAATACTAACTAACTGACAATTAGCGGGGCAAAGTTATTGTTTTTAACTTAAACTCATTTCCTTGACTATCCATACATCAGGTACATTAAAGACTTTGTGGATGTGGAATTTTAGGTAAGGTTAAGAATTTACGTTACATGTTCGAGCTTTTTACATTAGAATAAGAGTATTGGGTTATTTGGCAAAGAATTTTTTTTATGTAAATTAAAACACGGTATTGTTAACCGCTTTGAACTCCAGCGGACTCATTTGCCAGATTAATAAGATTAATCGATTTCATGTTATTAAATTAAGGATACGATCATGATAGGAAGAAACTAACTACGATTAAGAGTAAATGGGAGAAAAATAATTGTTATCATTGTTTTGCGACCGGCAGTATAATTTTTTTCATACTTTTATATCTCTTTGAACACCTATACTTACTCATCTGTCGGCTAAATCCTTATATTTCATCTTAACAAAATGATAGAGATTTAATTTCATTGTACTTTAGCCGTTTAGCGTACTATTTACAATTTATAGAGACTACCTTCAAAATTCTTTTTCCGTAACAATTCCTGATGTTTTATTTTCATGCAAATATTCCACGATCTGGCAAAATATTCTGAAAATCCAATTTAAAAGATTTTATTTCGTATAACTAACTATACCCATTTTTTTCGGCAATGGAAAATTGATTTTCCGCTCAGTAAGATGATTTTATATCTATCCAAGATTTATTTTTCACAATTTTACTTTATAAATTTTAGATCCTTTTAATTTCCGTAATTTAAAGCTTTTAATTAAAATGAGCTACTAACCCAACTCTGTAAGAAACTACCTTGAGCATTGTCGATATCATCTTGTTAATACAATCAATTTGAAATTTTCAGTTTTTGAATATCGAGATATACTGCGGCTTTAATTTATGAATCATGTGCCAGCGACCCAAACCAAATGACCCAAATGACTGGTCACGTGCCTTTGGTCATAAATGATAATCGACCTAGTTATTTAAAAATTACATCATAATTCTGGCCAAAATTATTTTGCAATTTTGATGTTTTCGAGGATAAATTATATCACGAGATAATATATGTAATTCTGGCCAGCATCAATTTAGCAATCACTGAATTTAAATTGTCTACTTATTACCAGTATGTGCATTGAAAGTTTCCAATGACTTTTTATTGAATTGGCCTTCCAATGATTTTTATTCACATTATAATATATTATACTATATATAGACATGTTACCCTATAAAAAAATTGGATACGTTTTTTATAAAGTTTTTATACGATTTTTTTTCCTTAGAAATAACGTATCATAATAGGATACGGAAAAATGCACAATTCCGTATCACTAAAAATATGGTTTGGATACGGAATTTGCACGGGATTTATATGGAATTTACATGATTTGATCATTGATTTTATCACGAAATTTATACGATTTGGTCACTGAATTTACTATTTGTATTACAGTTTACTATAATTGTATTTACATAAATCTAATTTTACTTTATTAAATTAAATAAAAAATAAAAAATAAACAAAGTACAAATACATTATGAAAATTCCCTCCTTATTAAAACCACCTATTGCAACCAAAATTATCTATAAGTTCAGGTTCATTTGGAGTCAAACAACCTAAAAGAACAAAAAAAAAGATTGGAAACAAAACCTCCCTCATATAGTATCTGCAATCGTCCAAGTCACCAAAGGTCAGCATTCCTACAAAAAAAGAAGGAGAACTCTGTCTGACCTACATAAAAGAAAAGAATTATGAGGCGTCTAATGAAAAAGAAACCAAAACAACAAAATAAAATCCAAAACTGACCTACAAAAAAAGAAGACTCTGAAGCAACAAAACTGAAACAACCTACAAAAAGAAAAGAATCTAAACCCAACTTACAAAAAAACAAGAAAATTTGAACTGACCTAAAAAAAGAAAAAAATCCTGAATCATCCTACAAAAAGAAAAGGACTCCCAAAATGATCTACAAAATAGAAAAAAGAAACTGAATATTCTCACAAAAAAAAATCTGCTGGCCTATGAAATTAAATATAAATAAAAAAGAAAGGTGAATAAAGAATAAACCAAAAAAAATATTTTTTTAAAAAGAGGGTAACGAAGTTAGGAAAGTTAAAAAAAAATTTTTTTTTAAAGGGAGGACGTCAAAGTTAGAAAAATAAAAAATTTTTTATAAAGAGGAAATAGAAATAGAAAGAAGAAATTTTTTTTAAAAAAAAGGAGAGTGGGAATAAAAGAAAAAATTTTTTTTTCAAAGGAGAGTGACGAAAAAAAAATTTTTTAAAAGTGAGGTACGAAAAAAAAAATTATTTTTAAAAGGGGGTGACGAAGAAAAAAGAAAATTTAGAAAAAATAACAAAAATAAGACAAGAGAAAGAGAAAGGAAAGACAGAAAGGAAGATCGGAAGATCAAACTCATAAAAGTAAGGGTTTACATAAAAAACAAAAAACGTATCATAACAAAACAATAAACAATCATGTGATCTCGTGTTATGATACGGGATTTTTGTAAATTATCTTCTAAAAATATTAAGTTTAAAAATTCCGTATACATTCCGCATGATTAATTTTTTCCGTATACATTTCTTATACATTAGTTTTTTAAAAAAATGTTCAAAAATGAATTGCTTATTAAATATACGGAATTTGTATACGGAATCTATAGAAACGTACAAAAAATGTATACAAAACGTATCCTTTCCGTATACATATTTCTTATAGGGTTAGTATAGTTTTAAAAACTTCCAATGAAAATTCTATTGGAATTAGAATTTTCAAAAACTTCCAATCTTATAATGCTTATTACTGTAAAGTTGCTACGTAAAATTTTTTGATTGGTTCAATAAAAAAAATCAATCAGTAAGAAGCTATTTCATTCGTTCAGTCATTTCTAATGAAAATTCAGAAATACAACTGTATCCTTAAAAAAAAGTTTTATTTTATTTTTTTTTTTTTTGAAAAGCGACAATAATTATTCACAAAGCATATCTTTAAAGATAATGTTATGCTTTCAACACAATTAAATTAATAATTGCCAATATCTTAGAAATTGTCAAAATTTTTTTATAAATTAAGGAAAGATATGTATACAGATAGGAGCAGGAGCGTATTCTTGATCAGTGGTTCCGAATTACAAGAAATTCTCGTATAATATGAAATTTTGTATTTTTTTTTAAAAAAAAGGTAATAGTAAAAACTTGTATATCTAAAAAGCCATTTAGTAATGTAAAAAAAAAAGAAATCGATACCTGTC